TCATTAAATCCACAGTATTGATTTTAAAAGTATAAAGATAAATATTTTGAAAATAAAACCATTTTCTTTCCTCCTGGTGATGGGTAAGCAATTTAACCATTTGGGTCAAATGAGCTAACCAATAATGCCATAATTAAATAATAAAAAATCAAAATAAATAATATATAAAAATGCAAAAAATTGAATTGATCATATCTCTAATATTATACATTCATTATACTAAGTAAAATTAAGTATAAAATGTAATAAATATTTTTATTAACAATGAAAATGGAGTTGCAAATCTAAAATAAACCTTGAAATTAAATTAAATGATGTCATAGTCGAATAATAAAATGTTTAAAATAAAAATACAAAAATAAATCACAAAAATAAAGAAAAAATTAGAGAACAATTTGGGCACATATTTTATGTTATATATTTATAAAAAAAAATATTGGGTCCGTCTATAATATTATACATTCATCATATTGAACAAAAATAAGTATTATACATAATTTTATAAATGATGGAAATGCAATAATAAATGGTTTAGGTGATGGGTTGGTGGTTTGGGTCAAATGGATTGATATTATAGTAAATAATAAAATTTTAAAAAATAAAAAGGCATAAGGAATACAAAATATAAAGATTATAAAAAAATTGGACACATATCTAATATTATATATTAATTATATCAAATAAGAATTAATTAGTATGATAAACAAATATTATTTATATGATGTAGATGGAATATATAATTTAAAATGGATTTGAAAGAAATGCTATTTTCCTATCTAGATGGTGGGTTAATGATCGAGTTTTCAAATAAACTCATGGTGATGTCATAATTGAATAATATATATTTAAAAAAGATAGAACAAAAAATTGAAAAGTATACAATTTTATCGAAAACATTTGGGGACATTTCTAATGTTATATATTCATCGTATTAAATACAAAATTATTTTTATTTATGACGGGAATATAATACAATAATAATAATAATAATAATAATAATAATAATGGTGATGATAATAATTGTCATTGTAATTTAAATTTTCAATGTGCAATGCACGTCAACATTTACTAGTTTGTCCTAGTCTGTCTAAGGCTCTTTCGTCAATAAGTTGGGTTTTCTTTTGAAAGTCTAAATAACAATGAATGGCAAAATCAACTGCAAAAATGGTAGTTTTTAAATTAAGAATTTGTATATAAGTCATGTGACACCACAAGCGAACAGATTGAAATGACATACTAATGGTAGGGAAAGATTTTGTCCTTTGTTAGAAAATTTAAGGATCTAATTTTTCAAACACGGAGTAAATTTGTGTCCATTTGCTAAACCATAAAGGTACTTTAAGTATTTAACCCTTTTCTTTTTTAGGGTCCGTTTGATTTGTTGGAATAGGGGTATGGAACTGGAATCGGAATGGGCTATTCCGATTCCAACTGTTTGGTTGAGCAGAATCGGAATACCGTTCTCATTCCTGCTGGAATGGCATTCCCCCATTCGAGGGAATTGCCATTCCCTACCCCTCCCTTGGGAATGAAATCCCATTCCTGTTGATTTTAATTCACATTCCCATTTCTGTTTGAGCCAAATAGACTATGGGAATGGATCATTCCGATTCCGATTATGGTGGATTTCAATTCCGATTCCGACTACAAACCAAACGGACCCTTAGTTACTTTCATTTTTTTATTGGAAAATATTACTTTTATTATGTTATATTCACTATAGTATTTTAGTGAAAAAAAAATCCCTTACTATAACAGTTAATTAAAAAATTAAGTTTATAGTTCTTGTCTTTTTTTTTAAATGTTTTCATAAAACATCTCTTATTTTATTGTTTTCTTGTATATTAACAAACATGTTAATATTTTTTTTATTATCTTAGTCTTTTTTAGTGGAAATTTCCCTTAATTGCTTAGTTTGTTCTCAAATTTTTAAAATTGAGATGAATTGATCAAACCAAATCGACGCAATTTAGTATGGATCGGCAATTGAACCTAGCAGGTAGGTGGATGGTTTTAAAGTATTCAAATTACCTACATTGCTATTGTTTTTATCTTGAAATTTACATAGTTGGGTTGAAACAACCAAACTAGATGGCAAATTTCTCCATCCCCGACGAGGACCCAACTTACTTGACCTGCATTGAGGATGGGATTACTTTGGTGGGGCATGGATAGGAATTAATAGGGATCACCAATTGGGGTCATGGTTAGGGGGATTGAGGTCCCTGCCCCGACCCGACCCTACTTATACATATATTAAATATCTTTGTAATATATGATATTATTTACATTATTTGTATATATGGAAACACATTTAAAACATTATTTGAATTTAAAAAATTGTATTTATTTTAAGTAAATTTATTTTTTCAAAAAATGTTGTTAACTAAAAACAAATCGAGGATTTGGGTCCCCGTGGGGAACCCGTCCTTGTCAGGGATCGGGGGTGGAGGACAACTTTTATTGCCGACGGGGATTAGGGATGAAGACAGTGATTAATTTCATAATCGGGGTTGGGGTGGGGAATATGGTCCCTGTCCTGTTGCCATTCCTAGCTAGCATGTTGGACAATTTTCGAGTATTCAAATAACCCAACCCAAAACTTCATATTCTTGATGCTAGTGATTTTTAGGCACCTACAATATTTTATGCCTTTATTTCTTCTAATGGGAAACTAACAAAGGTGGAAAAAAGCACGATCCATTTGATGTAACACTCGATGTTTAAAAAAAGGATAATGATGGTTTAGCCAAGGGTAGAATTTTTAGGCCCAAAGTACAGTTGGGATAGGTGCCAACTCATAATTGATGCTAATTCACGGGCAAGCATTGGTGTATAGAGTAGAGGTTTTTGACATTTTGAATGTTTATAGGTATGTGGTGGAATTCAGAAATCTGCATTGGGCCTGAACGTACTTTTCCATAAAAAATTAAGTTCATCACAATGGAAGAAAATGATAAGGGAGACAATTCATGTTCATAGATTTTTTGTTTTAGAAAATTATAAATTAAATTTTCACATAATTTATAGGAAAAAAGTTAGGTAAATTACAAAAACCTCTTGTACATAAGAGTGTCAATTGGATTGGATTTGATCCAATACGACATGGTTCAATGTTTGTCCATTACAAATGGATCAGGTCCAATCCAATCCAATCCAACGAATATTTTGGACCATTATGGACTGCTCCAATTCAATGTATGGACTGCCCAATATGCACAATTTGCTTTTAATTTATATTGGTTCTAACCCAAACCTGGTCTATTAACACCTATATTCTCATCTTCTATATTCTTAAACTACCCTTATGATTTAGCTAATTAACTAAGTGTGCCCTTACTATTTATAACAATTGGCTAAGTGTACCCTTAGTCATTAAACATGGACGGAAAGGTCAATACCTGTTTTACCCCTATGCAAAGTTACATTTTTGTCCTTGATTTTAACTTAACTCATAATCCCTCTCAGACACTCGCCTTATCCGTCGAAAGAGAAGAGGGAGGAGTGCCATCCATTGATGCGGCCATCGCCATTGCCATTGCCATTGCCAACGACTGCAGTCGCTGCAAGTACTTAACGGCGGAAGTCCAACGAAGGTTGGTGAGTTTTTTTTTTTTTTTTTCACCAAGAATAGATCCATGCCTGTTATCTTGCCGATGCAAGTTAAGTTGAATCCCAAGATTCTGAGGAATGTAGCCGGAACTTGTGATTACATTTCTGATATGCCCGATGAATGCTTGGTTTGCATTTTTGGGTCCCTTGGCTCTGACGACCATAAAAGCTGTTTTCTAGTCCATCGGCGATGGTTTCGAGTTGAATGACAAAACCGACACCGTCTATCGTTCAAGGCGGAATCCGATCAACAACTTCTAATTCTCTCTATTTTCTCTCGATTTGGTACTGTAACCAAACTGGCATTGAAATGCGACTGACGATCCATCAGCATCAACAATGAGGCTCTCGTCCAAATCTCTTCATGTTGTTGAAACTTTGTATGACTCAAACTTTGCGCTTGCCGTGAATTGACCGGCGCATGCATGGAGGCCTTCACTAAGAATTGCAAGGGTTTGAAGAAGCTTTCTTATGACTCTGCATGTTTGGTTATAAGGGCAGGAATGCCATCCTAATTCACAGTTCTGCTCTTGAAGAGTTGTCTATGAAATGCCTCCGTGGCATCATGGATGGGACCGCTGTCAAGCCTATTGGGCCAGGTGCCGCGGCCTCGTTCCTCAGAACTATTTGCTTCAAGGAGCTTTACAGGGGCCAATGCTTTGGACTGCTTATCGTATGTTCCAAGAATCTTAGGACCCTAAGATTCTGATTAGACGACCGTCACTCGTAATAGGTACGTGTGTGGGAGAGTTCATGTCAAATGTGCATTTTCGACATATGTATATAGATTTTGGCAGAGAGTTAACGATATGGGTAATTTAAGAAATTTATATTTCCAATCAGCCATGCTTTACCATGTTGTTTGTGTTTATCTTACTCTTATTCAGACAGTCTTTACACCTTTGTCCCATCCGAGTTTGACAATATCAGGTGAATTTTTATTACAATCTGTTGAATTTTGATGAAGTGGCCATACTATTGTAAGCTGTATTGAGCTGTACTACTATTTAGTACATATAAAAGTATTATTGCATACAAAGCATAATTTATCATTTATATCAATGGTTCAAAGTACAATTTTTCAAAGTGGAGGGTAAATTAAAGTAATTTTACTTACCACATTTCTCTCCATCAATCCCAAATTTGAAGGAAGAATGCCAGGTACACGGTTTGAGTGGCCGTATATCATACCGTTGCATTAAACACCTTAACTTGGACATGATGCGGGTCCCATTTTGTTATGTTTTCAAACATTGGGCCCCATAGAATATACGGTCACGGTGGCCTCGGCAACCGTATTCCGTACGGGTTGGTGCAAACGAGTATGATCAACATTGCAGCATAGAAAGTACGCAAAGCGGGGGGTTCAGTTGGGTCCCACCTCTTTCACCCCCTGATTTTCAGAAAAGTACTCCCGGCAGAGCCTTCTCGGCTGTTCGTCTCGTTTCCGACTTCCTCGATCTCATTCGCTCATCAGCGGTTTCATATACATCGCTTCCCGTCTCAATCCTTCCTTATCATCTACATCTCTTCTCCTGCGTCAGAAACCGAGCTCCAATGGCGCCCGTTGATCCTCATTCCTTCACCGATTCCTCCCACCCTTTCGCCACCCATGTCTCCCTCTCTATGTACTTTGATTTCGCCTCTTCCACCATTCACGCTTCCTCTCTGCTTACCCTCCCAACCCCTTACTCGGGCCCCATCTCCCTCGACGTCCGTTCGCTCTCTATCATCTCTGTCGTTGACCCGCAAACCCTAACCCCTCTCCCATTCTCGCTCTCTACCGTCCCAGAACCGATCAAAGGCCAACACCTCACCGTCTCCCTCTCCAACCATTCGTCATTCCTTGTTGCATTCTCGACAAGCCCGTCTTCATCCGCTCTTCAATGGCTATCGCCGCCTCAGACCTTCAAAAAGACCTTCCCCTTTGTGTACACTCAGTGCCAAGCGATCCACGCTCGTTCCGTGTTCCCATGTCAGGATACTCCGGCCGCACGCCTTCGTTACTCGGCCCGCCTCAATGTACCCCGTCAATTGTCGGCCGTGATGGCAGCACGGCACATCGAACGCCGGTCACCGGTGTCCGGCGAGGCTGCAATGGCATGTGATGATGCATTGTGGTGTGCTGACGGTAGGGTGGTGGAGGAATTTGTGATGGAGCAGCCTGTGCCGCCATATTTGTTTGCCTTCGCGGTGGGGGAGATTGGATTCAGGGAGGTTGGGCCTAGGACGAGGGTTTACTCTGAGTCGGTTCCAGGACTTCTGGATGCTGCGGAAAGGGAGTTCGCGGGGACCGAGGAGATGATTAGGCAGGGAGAGCGACTGTTTGGGCCTTACGAGTGGGAGAGGTTCGACTTGCTTGTGTTGCCACCGAGCTTTCCCTATGGTGGTATGGAGAATCCGAAGATGGTTTTCTTGACACCGACTGTGATTAAGGGTGATGCTAGTGGCGCACAAGTGGTAGCCCATGAGCTTGCTCATAGCTGGACTGGGAATCTGATCACTAACAAAACTAACGAGGATTTCTGGTTGAATGAGGTAAGCTGATTTTTCTCTGGCAGTCTTTATCCATAACGAATCCATTTAGTCGGGTTGCTTGGTTGTTTGTTTGCTTTTCTGTAAGAAGAAGAATTTAGTCGGGTTGCTTGGTTGTTGTGTTGACTGTGGAAACAAATCCTTTCCAGAAAGTTACGAAAACGACATTTCTTCTGATAATCCGATTTTCCGTAATCACTTTAGGAATAGATTTTTGGTCCTATGGATATATGCTTCTCTACCATTGTTAATTTTCCAAGTTAATCCAAACACCGGGAAAATTAGGAAAATGGTTCCCAATCGTATTGTATAATTTCCGTGGGAATCATTATTTTTCCATTAATTTACATGCAATCTAGCGAAGCACTCCTATAAGGAGTTATCGAAGTGAATTTGAGTTCCCCAGTTATTCCTGGCTAACAAAGTTATCTTGAGGAGCTTTTGTTTCTATTCGGATGCTATGTATAGGTTCTTTTTATGTTTTTGCTCTGATCCTAGGGTTTCACAACATATGCGGAACGGAGAATCGTTGAAGTCGTACAGGGAGAGGAGAGAGCTGCTTTGAGTATTGGAATTGGCTGGAGGGGTTTAAATGAAGAAATGGAGAGGTTCAAGGATAACATGGAGTTTACAAAGCTAAAAACCAAACAGGAAGGGGTGGATCCAGATGATATCTACTCCAGAGTTCCATACGAGAAAGGTTTCCAGTTTCTTTGGCGCATTGAACGTCAGGTAGGTCATGGTTCTTAAAGTCATTCAGATGTTATAGAAGGAAGCATGATAGAGTCATATTTATTTATCTATCTTTACTAATTCAGATTGGGCGGCCTGCATTTGATGAATTCATTAAGAAATATATTGCCACATTTAAGTTCCAGTCGATTGATACCGAAACATTTCTCAATTTCCTGAAAGCAAATATTCCTGGAATAGAGACACAGATAGATTTGGTTCTTTGGACTGAGGGTACAAGTATCCCTTCAGATGCCTTTGAGCCTGTCTCCAACATCTATATTAAGATTGTATCACTGGCAAAGGAGTTTAAACTTGGGAGGATGCCAAGAGAGGATGAAGTTGCAGATTGGCAAGGGCAGGAATGGGAACTTTATTTGGAGAATTTGCCCAAGTCTGTTGAAGCTTCACAGGTACTCCTCCCCTGAAGAATTGTTTGATGTATTTTCTCTATCTGCATTTAACCTTGACTATATGTTATACTGATTGCTCAGCTGAATATTTTCCTTTTTCTCCACCACTCCGTTGTTAATTACATATAATTTTCTCTTTGGCATCTTTTATCCATCTTTTGAATTGTTATGGCTATAAGGTATTTATTTCCTACTTAGGTTAATATGTTTCAATGTACCAATAACCCCTAAATGTGATGAAAATCCTGCTCATCTTTTTTATCTTTGGTTCCAGATTCTTGAAACGTTTAAGGGATGCTTGAGCTAGAAAAGGTTGTTATTTGGTTGGGAGATGGTGCTTAGAGGAACTAGAGCCTTGGTTTCTGGGGTGAGCATCTTGTTCAGGTGGACCAGCAACTCCATGGTGGTTTGACCCTTATGGTCCATTTGGTTGCCGGGAAACAGTGGGGTGAGAAGGGATGGGATGGGAAGGAAAGATTTTATTTTCTCATGTTTGGTCACTGTGTTTGTTTGCTGATACCCACCATCCTACAGAATCTGCTTCTAGCATTTGGTTGATGAGAAAATAGATTTATTTGCATTAACAAGATAAGCATCACCATGAAAAAAATAAATACAGATACATGCTTAGAGTAAGATAATAATCAACAGAAAAAAAAACTGTTGAAACCTCGGCCTTAGTGTTTTAAAAGTGAAAGGCACAAGGGCCATTTTGCGCCTGAGGCACAAGGTGAGGCACGTGCCCTTTTGAGGCAAGGTGCACAATTAAAAAAAAAGCTAAAAAATAAAAAAATGTAAAAAAATTATAAAACATAATATTAATAAAAATATAAACTTAAATTTTAAAATGAATGTTTAAAAAAATCTATTATATTAAATTAAAATACATAAGCTTAATATGTAAAGCATATTCGAATGAGAATTTAAAAATGAAATCAAACATATAAAACATTTTCAAGCATATAAAACCCACAATCTCTTTTTTCTCAATTAAATCAAGTAGCTAATGTGACATATTACATTCCTAATTCTACGAGCCACCTTTGTGCCACACCCCTCGAGGCAAGCCCAAACAAGTCCATGTTGGGGTCTTAAATTCTGAGTTTTCACACAAAAAATAATGATTTTATAGTTTTAATTGCTTTTAAGAAGATATTTTGTTAGGATGAATGAATGGACGGTATTACCAAATAGGGGGTTCTCGAAGCTTCGGTGAGCGGGCGAAGGTGGGGCCCTCGGCCCAGCTGCTAGATTCAAAAAAAGGAAAAAACGTCAAATTTTCAAAAGGTGCACCAGGCACATGCCTTTTGAATGGGCTGCGCCTAGGACCTGGGCGAGGCGCCTACCCTAAAATGCGCCTCGCCTGTGTGCCTTGGCATGCCTGAGGCGCTCCTTTTAGATCACTGCTCGGCCTAGAAATCAATAGATCTCAGGGTGATACCTAATATCAGGGTATGTGATACCTCGGCCTAGAAATCCCCTTTGTTTGCCCTGAGATGACCTGAAACGGAGCAAGAATAAAATAAATACAAATAAATGCAGTTCAATATAACAAAATGCCGAAATCTATCAAAAATACAACACAAAATGGTAGATATTGGTCTCTAAACACAAAGATACGGAAGCTGGAATCGAAATAACAAAATGTTGGCAGCCGGAAGCCAGAAAAGTGGTACCAATAACAGCAGACGCCATACCAGAACAAGTTGGTAGAGATTGGAACATTTTGGTACAATGAAAGGAAAACACTAGATCTGGATGAGGCAAATGCTGGAAGCCAGATCTGGAGCTCTGCCATTCAAATGAACACCTTGAACAGCAGTTCAGGTGTTTTCTGGCAATGGAGGTTCATCTGGACGAACAGGGATAGAGGTAGAAGACGGTGAGATTCGAATGGAAACTCACTCAATGAAAGGAGATAAAATGGCTGGAGATGGTGCCGGCTAGAAGACTATTGGACAGCGTGAGAGGTAGGTGATGCTTGGAGTTGCTGCTCTTGACAAAGTTTTCTCACTAACTTTCCCTTCTCAGTGGGGTTGCACCATTTTGGTGTGACCCCGCACAAAGAATTTTGAGAATCCGTGTCACATTTCTTTCTCGTCCCATCCCAGTGTTTTCCTCAAAACAAACACAAGAAAACTAGAATATTCCCTAAAGATTCTTCCCATCCTATCCCCTTCTCGGCAACCAAATGGATTGTTAGGTTGGCTAGAATCGGATGTCTGTTGCATTGTGGTTTCTCTATCCTGGGATAGTCTTATACTCCTGTTCCTTTTTGGATCCTCAATTTGGATATGGTTCACCTCTTTTTTTGTGAGGTTGTTGAGTCTTACTTTACCTGTGAGCTCAATTGTTTTTAAAACTTAAGTGCTTTTTTCTTAGTTAAACTCAATAACATTTCTTTTGGATTCATTAATCATTACTAATCAAAAAAGAAAGAAATAACACCTCAGTGAAAAAAATTGATTGGCTTGATACTTGATCCGTTTTATCACTTGAGAATAAATTAGTTTAACATACCCTTGATGGATGTGCTCAATCCGTTTTATCACTTGTGTATTTAGTTGACCACTTGTGTGATAATTTGGGATGAAAATTGGACAGTGACACGTGGGATGGTTGATAGATGAGAGAAACTTGGGTGTAGTGTAACTTTTACAGTCATTTAAGAGTTCTCTAATAATTTCTACAACTTTTAATTATAAATTTTTTGTTTAGTACTGACAAGGATGATATATGAAAACTATGCCAAATTGGTGGCACTTTTCCAGTAAAATGATCAGTCCCTTCCTTTTGTGTGCTGTACTGGATTATTGGTTACCCGTATCCAATTCGACCCATAGGCTCAGTTTGGAAAGAGTACAAATACAAATGTGTACAGTGCAAATACATACAAAATGCAAGGTTTTGCACTCTACATATTTGTATTTGTACTCCTTCCAAACTGAGCCATAGGAAAAAAATATCTAAATCAGTAGGGTCATTCCAGTTTGTGTGGGGAAGTAAACTTTGATCTCATATTCTCAGTACACAATTTGGTTGTTGTTGCAGGTTGTGTCATTGGATGCACGCTACAGCTTGGCAGAATCAAAGGATTATGAGGTGAAGGTGGCATTTCTCCAACTGGCCATTTCGTCTGGCTGCAGAGAATACTATAGTGAAGTGGAGAAAACTTTGAAGGAAGTTGGGAGGATGAAGTACCTTCGCCCCCTATATACTGCACTGGTACAAGGCAGTGGAAAGGAAGAAGAAAAGATATTGGCTAAAAGAGTTTTTGCAGAGGCTCGTGATTGTTATCATCCCATAGCTCAAGGTGTTGTCGAGTCCATCCTTTCCAAGCATCTGTAGCTTGATATACAAATATACTTTAATCATACTAATGAATCTAAATCTAATTTTCTGTTTTTTTGTGAATCTTGCCTTTTCTGATACTATCTTGTTAGAAAGAATATTAATGTTTACTACTAATTTTTTTGCTTCCCCTATTATTACCACCACATCACCTGTAACTACTAGCAACTCTCGCACACTTGCCAGTGACTTCCCACATTGCATGTTATTGGAATTGGCAAGAAAAGCCATTGTTTCGTAATGCTTTTCTGAACTTATTTCCATGTAAAAGGGTTGCAAAACAAATGTTGGCCAGAAAAAAGGAAGAAATACAACAGTGTTTTACAGGTTGAAAAGTTTTAACCTTGAGACATTACCTTGTTAGATCATGAATACAACGTTTAGCAGCAATTGCCTTGGAGCCTGTAAAGTAAAGGACGTGTATAAGTAAGGTCTTTCTGTGCACCAAATTGGAGAGGATTTTTTTTTTTAAAGGTCAATTATTTGGTTTGATAGAAAATAAGATTCTGCAATGGTTAAAAATTCTGTAAAGTACGGACAGGCCTAATGCAGATTTTTAAATTTTACTGCAGATTTATAAACATTCAAAATGTCAAAACCCCCCATTCTATACACCGCATAGGGGTATAGAATTCTGACCTGGGCTGAACTGTACTTTGGGCCTAAAAATTTTGACCTGGGCTGAACTGCCATTCTCCCTAAATTTTTTGGGAATCTTCATTTACCCCACATAGGGGTGGCAAATAGGTGAGTTGGGTTGGGTGTGGCTTGTAAGTACCAAATTACAGGAAAATTCAGAAAAATGCAACAAATTATAGAAAAAATACAAATTTTGCAAAAATAGAAATTGCATAAAAAGCAAGAAAATACAGAAAAAAGCAAAACTTGCAAATAAATAACCAAAAAAATACAAGAAAGTGTAAAAGTTGCAAAGAAAAGAATACAAGGTATAAAAATGTAGGAAAGTTACATAAATAAATAGAAATTTTGAAAAAATGCAGAAAACATAGCACAGAACATTATATAGAACTAACAAAACAGAGCATAGAGACACGGAAGATGGTAATATATATATTTTGTATATTAGTAGAAATTGTAGAAAAGACATAGAAAATTATTCAAAAATTAAATAAAACTATATTTAGAAATCATAAAAAATAGAAAATGATAAAAATTTCGAAAGAAATTACAGCTAACAAAACAACAGAAATCACAAACAATAGAGAAATTATTCAAAATAAATACATATGTTTTAGCCAAAAACTAGAAATTGCATAAAATATAAAGATGATTAAAAAATAAAAAATATATTTCAACAAAAAACTGGACACAAAATGTTAAAAAGTATATATTTCATCTAAAACGGAAATTGGGAAAGAAAAGTGCTTGATGTAGAAGCTGTAGGCTTCAATGGTTGTATTGGGTGTTCGTTGAAATTTCTTTGCAAGAGGGAGAGATCTTCATCGATGAATACCGTTCGCTGAGAGTTGAAACTTGAGCTCAGGGATTTTGGAGTAGCCGAGTCGACGATTTGGGGTTTTGCTTCAGATTGAAAGGGAAAAGCCTTAAATATTGATTATCTTTGTGGTTTGTCTCCAAAGCAGATATATTTCACTGAGGGATTTTGGGTTGAGGTCAAAATTGCTAACCCAACCACCAACTATCCCGTGAAATATAAGTGAAAGTGAGTGATATTCTCTTGCTTTAGCCCCATTTCTGGTGGTAACAGACTTCGAGAGAAGCAAAGTCAGTGGACAGATTTCTTACTCACTTTAGTCGCACCTTATCCACACTCCATTGCAACCGCACATTTTACAAATTCAAGGTGGATAGTGTAGGTAGAGAGTAGTTGGCAGGAAATTCGGCTTTTTATTAGAGAGGAGATGGATTTCGAGAGAATTTCCCCCCAAAATTTGATGGAACGAGGAATTGGGTTCTGCACAGTGGTTATCTACATACAAGAAAAAAAAAAATTAATTGAATTAATTTATCCACCAGCTGAAGCCTAAACCTGAGGGCTGATTTTAAGTTTTTAGCTTTTTTTAATCCTTTTACATTGTAAACGCCATTTGGATTTTGATTTTTTAAAGAGTGGTTATGAAAATTAATAATTACTATAAGAACACATTTCTTAAATTATCCTTATGATTTAAGTAATTAATTAAAATATTAACTGAATGGCTGAAATGTCCGTTTTTGCCTTTCATCATCTTCGGTCTGTCTTCACCGCCGCCCAGGTCCTTTCCCTACTCTTACATTGGAGAAATTGTCGATTACCAAAAGCGGTGGCCATGTTTAAACAAATCGTCTTTTGGTTCTGTATAACGAACAGAATCTAAAGCATCATCTTCTTTGTTTCTGTATAATGAACAGAGACCAGAGACGAAGCCTCATTGAATGTAACCGACTGTCATGCGACAATGATTATTAATGATTCCAAGGGGAAGAAAAAGAGGGATCGGAGATTAGCAGGGGAGGACAATGGATTTGGGGAGACGAAGAGCGTGGCGACGGCTTCTGTTGAAAATAGTAGGCCTAGTGGGAAATCGAAGCGGAAGAAACTACAGAGGCGTTTAGAGTGGCGGACGCCGTTAAACGGGGAGAAGATTAAGTAGTGTAGACCGCCAAGGGAGTGGTTGCGGGCAAGTGGGTGGCGAGGTTGTAGATCTTGTTGGGAAGTTGGAGGAGCGGTGAATGAGTCCATGGACCTCATACTCATAGTCTGTGAGGTAAGAACCATCCTGACTGGTGATGCCAGCAACAAGGCTATCTTGCGCCCCCGTGGCTGTGAACGGGTTTTCAGCGTAGTGTCTTCGCCATTGATTATTGCAGCGACAGATCCGGATCTGGAGGAGGTGTGGTTTTCGGATGTTCGAGCGGCACTTAGACTCGGTGGTCTCTGACATCCAAATCCGGTTCCGCTCAGAGCTTATTGCTAGGCCAAATAAGAGGGAACGGGATCTGCTCCTCACACGGGGAAGAAGAGTTCGGCTTCAGTGCAGGCACGCTACGTTCAGGCAAGATTCGTGCATTTGGAGGACGCACCACGTCTCTTCCGAATCGTGTGAAGAGCTGAAGCATGCGAGAAATCTTCAGCCCCGTTAGTTATCACTACCGTCAGTCTGGGTTGAGCAAAACGCGCTCTTCTCTCCCCTTCCCTCCTGTGACGAACCTCACGCTCTCTCTCCCCATCTGCCCGGCGGCGACTGCACAACCATCATCGCCTGGACTGAAGTCGAACTCAAACGTGAGTTTTGCTCCTCTCCTCTCTTCTTCTCTTTTCTCGCAGACGAGACATCTCTCCTCCCTCTCTCTCTCTTTATCCGCCCGACGGCGAATTAACAACTATCACCGCCGGCGACAAATAACCATAACCTGCGGTGAGATAAACCTCAGAGTATCTCATGATTCTTTGGAGTAGACTCCCGTTTGGGTTTGCCAACTCCTCACAATCCATTCTTTTTCAAATAGAATTTCTCATTCGAAAGCGCAGTCCCAAGAAATGAAAAATATCACTTAGATGAGAAGTACTGCAGTTCTGCAAACTCTCTTCCGAAAGGCCACCAGAAAAATTGTTTGTTGATAAATCCGGAATCTGAACAGAACTGGAGGAACTGCATATCTTATTGTCGACCTGCCCAGTAAGAGAATTATTGCTCACATCGAAGACAACAAGATTTCGTAAGTCCCCAAGTTCAACTATATTGCCATCAAAAGAATTGCTAGCTAGAGATATTAATCAAATGGATAGACTTTAAACAACTTAGTGATCCTAAGATAGGGCCCATTAGCATGTTAAAGCTGAGATCAAGAAACTCCAGATGATGCAAATTTGATAGTTCTGTGGGTATTCCTTCTTCCAGAAAATTGTGAGAGAGATCAAGCCATTTTAACTGATCTAACCCAATGATCTTGTTATCATCCCTTTCAGACCTCTGCTTGGCAGCATCAACATAATCACCCTCCTGGCAGCTGAACCATTAATCCCATTCCCACATTTAACACCAACCCATTGACAACAAATCGACTCATTTGCCCATGCCGAGATAATCGACCCATCTGTGAGGTTTCCTGCAAATTCTTTGAGTACCAACAAATCATTTGGATCATAGGTAGCAAACAAAACAGACCGTGAAAACCCATTGTATGAAAATCATCGGAATGAACTCCAACACCGCCATGACCGAAACCGAATGGAGTCCCTACTTCAGATTATAAGGCAACCACCCCATGAACTATATTACATCTGATACTATGCTATACACTGCTCCTCATAGAAAGAAGCCCAAATGGACAAAACACCTTCGCAACGACACTTCCAAATGAAGCAACAGTTCGCAACAGTCACCTACAAAAATGAGATTCCTACCTCAAAACAAATCCCTGAATCAGAAACCAACAAATCCATCAGTCTAGTATTGTTTTGTCCTATAGATTGAACCACAGAAAAATATTAGAATTTCAAATGTATGGAATTTCTTCGAACCCATATCCTAAAACACCTCAAAATTAAACCACAAACAAAAACCTTACCAACATTCAATCACTTGCAACAAAAGTAACACCGAGTTGCTGGCCCGTAAACCCAATAACAACTCTTACTACAGTTTTTTTTCTGTAAATGGTCCTGCTCTATATAAATCAGTATGCCTCGAATTCTTTCTTTTTTAAGTATAGAATGCAGGGCAATAAAGAGCAAGAAGAACAAAAAGAAAGATATTTCAAATTAAAGCACATAAACTCATAACACCAGTAACACAGCAAGAAGAACATATGCAAAGAAAACAATATCCGAGGTTGATTCCGCCGCCGGTGATGGTTGCTAAGTCGCCCCGAATGGGGAGAGAGAGGGAGGAGAGATGTTTCGTCTGCCACAGAAGAGGAGAGGAGAGGAGCAAAACACTTACTTAAACTAACGGTTAGTCTCACTTACGGGGTGAAGCATCCTTGCATGCGTCAGCCCTTTACATGATTCGGACTTCGAATGCACGAACGGTGCCTTGACTAAGGGTGCCTGGACTGAAGCCGAACTCAAAGAGAGGGAAAAATATATATTAGTGACGCTACCGCCTGATTGTTTAAATATGTGATCCAGTTGATTTCTGGTATCCATCGGAGAATCTAGCTTCTCCTTGCTGTTGAAAGGAAGAATACAGTGAAAGAGGAGAAAGAAGGGAGAAAGATGAAGGGTAAAATTGGGTTTAAAAAAAATTATATATCACCTAGTGTCACGTATGTATAGCTTTAGACGGAATATTAACCGATGTTAATATTGACACGACATGCCTGTATCGGTATCGGTTGACAACGGTATGAGATGTATGAATAAAAACGTATCCCATAAGCCGTTCGTATTGCACCGATACGGATGTGTATCGGCATGCAATTTGTCAATACGCACTGGTATGGGGTGATACGTGCAAAATGTTGCATCTTTCTATACTTCATAAGAAATGTAGCTATTTCAATTTGAACCCAAGTCATTCAAATGTGGCATTTTTTGCTACACTCTAAACCATCAAGATAGGCTTTATCATATGTTATTAAATAGAGTAAAATAAATTATATTATGTTTTTGTATTGACATACAATTTAAATAAAAAATATGTGTTTATATTTAACAATACTAACTATTCCAAGCAATAATATTTAAAAATAATATTTTTATAAATTAATAGAATAAATAATCTATCAATTCCATATTTGTATAAAAAGATAAATTTTAATATCAATAAAATTATACAAATAAAATATTTATTTTAATATTTAAATTGCACATGATATGCATTTTAAATTTTTATATATTTTTAAAAATTATTAATTAATATTTTAATTTACATTAATAAGTAATAACGATATATTTATTAATTATAAAAATAAAAATATTGTTTACAAAATATTGAAGAATATAATATTAAATTGAATCTATCAAATTCACTAATATACATTTATTTTAGTAATTAATATTAATATTTCAAAAAATGATTTTTTTTTTATTTTGAATTATTTATAGAAATAAAAAATATTAACAATGAAATAGTTATTTTAGTAATTAAAAATTATGAATTTGTATAGGATATGTATCTTAGAAATTTTAACAAATTTGATATACTTTAAGTTAATATTATATTTTTGTGAATTATGAATTGGTATTTTAATTTGCATTTGAGAATTTAATATTTAGTTGATTTTTTTGTTAATGTTAAAAAATTAAAATAGTAAAATAAAAAAATAAGTTATATAATAATTAAAATATAATATTCACATGTGTTTAGTGTCTTGGACTCTTGATTGATACATTATAAATAAAATTATATGATGTCTAGGCATCCCAATATATTAATTGTAATATATTTTTTTATATACGTCATTAAAATATATACTATTTGTGACTAATTTGGTTTTAAATTTAGTATTATTATTGTTTTTTGTGGAATTTGTATGTATTTCACTAACATATCCATCTATTTTCATATTTTTCGTTTGTATCCATGCATTTCCAAAGCGTATCCGTATCCATATCCGAATTTTCTAATACAATACCCGATACCAATACTTTAATCCTTGCCTTGGGGAAAGCGGGATTCAATCCCAAGTTTCCTCTTCAACCACTCAAAGAACTTCGTCCTTTACCAACTAAATTGGTGCCTTCCAACCTCCACAAGATATGTCAATATAGTTAGCAAAACATTCTTTATATTCTTTACACACAATTAGACCTAGCAAAAAGTTCACCCAACCCGCGAACTCGAAAAAATATCATTAGGGTCTCATATTTAGCTACCTGAATTTCAAAATGACCCAGCCCAAAATAAAAACTAGGTTAGGTTGGATTGGGTCATGGATCAACCTACTAACCGATTGTTTGGTCTAATTGGGACTATTTATATATTGTTAAAAATGTCCACTCTTTAATCATCACTATTTAGTGTTTACTCTTTGAATTGTTAAATATTCAAGTTTTTTATTTTATCTTTGGAGTTTTAAGGTTAATTCATTTAATTTTGGCATTTTCCTGTATTTTTTCTTTATTTTTGAAAAAAACAATTTTTTTGGATAAACCGAATTGACCCATGGGTCAAACCTAACCCAAACATTTAGGGTTAGAGTCTCGCATTTGCCGACCCAACCTGAAACTCAATCCAATCCAAAACCAACCCAAAGTGTCTTGACCCAACCCACCCAACTCAATTGCTAAGCCTACACACAACTATTCGAGGTAAGGTTCAAAATATCGATATGCCCGATATGTTGATAGGGGCATATCGGGCAAATTGATACTGCTTTTTGATGTTTTTTTATTATTTTTTTCGCAACTGGTTTAGGGGGGCCGGTTTAGGGCTCCTCCACCCCCTGAATCGGTTAGACCCCGATACATCCACTATAGGGGCATATCGGAGGGGTCCTAGAATGATACGTATCAACTTATACGAGCCGATATGTGTCAATACTTTGAACCTTGATTCGAGGTTTGTTGCATTTCCCCATGAACCTATACCAATTAATCTAATATACAAAATTGCCCTTGTGAGATCAGAACATTGTTAGTTGCCTTGCTAGTAAAGTCTCTAGGTGGTTGCAGTGGGGACCCGGGATCAAGTCTTTTCTTCACCCTTACTGGTTGACCCAGGAACTAGTAATGGCTCCGGGGTCTAGTTTAAGACCCCAAAACCGTCCGATTGGAATTCGGACCGACAGTTGGACCATTTGACATGGGAACCTGTGGTCACAACGGTTTTGTTTTTGATCCAATTTTCAAAACCATGTAACTGCATTTTGCCGGCATATATTGATCTGAAACTTGATAAATAGAAAAGAATGCTGAACATACCAATAAGATGATCATTTTTATGCTGCTAAGTCAATTGTCACGAGTAAACAAAGCAGTTATATACAACATTTTAAGCTTGAGCCATCCTTGCTTGATGCATCGACCTCAATAATGCGATCTAATGGAGAATGCAACCAAAACTCGGAGTTTATTTGAGATGCTTCCATGAAGGATCCTCATACCTTTTTTCTGTTCACGGGGTAAACAAGAGTAGCCCATCTCAAGCCCATTACCTCCCCAACCCTGGTGAAGGTGGTATTTGATCCCAAGTCTCCATCACAAATTTACAACCAGCCAGAGGATCTTATTAACTGAGCCAATTGGGACCCTCACAAATTTACAACCAGCCAGAGGATCTTATTAACTGAGCCAATTGGGACCCTCTCCAAACACCCTGACAGACATGCATCCAGTGTTGTATCAAGGCTTGACCCTTTTTTTTTTTTTAAAACTGAGAACTGAACTGCAAAGCTTAAGGCAGTACTGGAGCCATCATAAAAGCTAACTTGCTGCTGATGGCAAAAAATAGATGGAATAAATATGAGATCAAATGCACACTAACCACCCCAAAGTTAATTATTGGAAAATTTGTATAAATGGAGGAAAACATGGTTCAAAATATCAATAATCTGGATACACCCAAATCACGTATTCAGAGGTTTCAACAATCGATACTCGGTTTTTTTAACCAAACTATATGCACAGATAGATATATTTTAATGTTCATTAATGGTTAAACCTATTAAAAATTTCTAGCTCTACATTTAGCCATTTCAGTAATCCAGAAAACCAATTTCTGTCATACGTTATGGTACCATATATATTGATACTTTGAACCATGGGACCAAATCAAGTCTATGACATGGTGTCCAGTGCTGAAATTTCAGGGTCTTCCTGCCTCCAATTCTAAGATATTTGAGACCAATCTTTACAAGTTATGCCATACTACCTGCAGTGGGGCTCCCATAGGATAAAAAACAGGATAGGTTTTCCCCAGGCCATTATATGCTAAAACATCACAGAATTAAGTATTAACTGCATTTTGCACCAAGAACAGTTAAAACATGTTAAAAATTAAGATAAAAAGCAGGCATTACATAGATAGAGTTTTTTATCTTTTTTTTTCCCTCTAGTCTCTCTATGTGAAAAAGATATTGTCCAGCTATGTAGCCATAGTTGCACAAGCACTTTCCACAAAAGCATTAGCTATGAGATGATACTAAATTAGGCAATTAATTCATCTGCTGATGATGAATGCTGTCAAGAACATGAATTAGCAATGCACAGGGTCTGCAATCGGTTGATATGCCATTCAATGTCTTTCTCTTTATCCTTTTGGCATTTGTCTTGATTAATCTCTTAAGAAATATTTTGTGGTTATTCTTAGGAACCCTACTGATGGGTGTCCCTTTGCAAAAAATGTGATGTGCCTAATCATTCCATCCCACCACACACACAGAAGAATAAATAATTAGTACTGTTGGAATAATGTTTTCACTTGATATTCAAGTATAGAAAGGTAATAATAAGCAAATTTTTAATGATCATGTTATATTCGCACCAGTTGCCCCATTTATGAAAAGCCAACCAAGTAAAACCAATTTCATATTTGCTAAATCTAAATTGAAAGAACAGAACAAAGAAGGAATGAAAAGAAGGGGAAGACTTATTCCATTTTCAGAACTTGCATATTACACTTTAATAGGCTCACACTATGACTGTATTACAATGTTGATTATTGTTCTTGTATTGACAGCTGCAAAGTGTTCTGCTTTGAAATAAAAAAAAATAATAAATAAATACATGCATAAGCAATCATGACAGAAAACAGACAAAATTGGGTTGATAAGTTGTGTGATTCTTATCTTCTAGTGGCACCAATGCTTCTTTGTAGCCAATAATACAATGATTTTTTTGTGACTTTCAACCTTTGCAAAACCACAGGTCTTCTGGCCAAAGATTCACACTCCACCAGTAGCCCGTTTTTTCCCAAATTTCCATGGTCTAGATCTATTCTGACAGAGCTTCCAACATCATGTTTAACATGAGGAATTCTAGATCCTGCACCAACAACTTCAAGCCCCAATTCATCTCGAAGAAGTTTGATTATCACATTCTGCACCTCAACCTCATGGTTGGCAGCACCAACACCTTCCTTCCTGACTCCTAAGATGATAACCATGTCATCTTTGATTGCATGTCCTGCAAACATGCACAATATATAAAACTCTGTGCTTAGACACAAAACAGATACCAAGTCCAACAACCCAAAAAAAACGCCTAAATACAACTTCTCTTGATGAACTTCATCAAAATATCAAAAACATCCAGAAATCACCCAAACTGTTTCTTTTTCCAGTTAAATCAGATGATAAACTGCTCATTATACCATATGAAAGGTTTCAATCCTATATACCTCCCAGACCTCTGCAATGTACAAAGGTCATCAGCATCTATCTATAGCAAGGTTAAAAGACTTATAGATCTAGAAAACCTGTCTAAGTTGAGGAACATCAAATTAATACTGAGGTAGAGGTAAATCTATTGTATTATCAGTGTTAGGCCTTGGATGTATGTTATTGTTTCTTTTTTCCTTCTTTGTGTATATCCATGTGCACATATCAACATATAAGAGACATATTTCTATTACATCTTATAAATGCTGACCTAGGGTGCATCTCTCTTTCATCATCCGCAAAACTGCAAGAATAACAATCCGAGCTTCAACCTGTTGAAACAAAACATGGAAAGACCTGAGGAAGTAGATCGAAAAATAAGAACAATGACAGAAATAGCTGGTTCACTTGGGGGCATGGAAAAGACCAACTGACTGAGTACTGATTTTCAGCAAACCCGCCAGCATAGCTTTAAATAGATGTGTTTGTCTGACTTTCTCTCTATATGGAAATAAACACAACGTTATGCTTTTTCCATTCAAAGGCATTGGAAATGCTATATCTAGCATTTTAAATATTGGGTCCGTACTGTATGTCATACCTATGATGCACCCCTATTTCAATATTCAAATGTTTAAGCCAAGTAGGGCATTCCATGTTGACATAACACAACATGGATATATATATATATATATATATATATATATATATGGTGTCTGGCATGTTGCTAAGATGTACCTAGATATTTTACAATCAAGAATCTTTAAAATCTAACAAATAGAATTTGGAATAATTTAAAGAATTAGGGTAAAGCCATATCAATGTGCTCTAAATTATATATCTCCATGTATTTATACCAATGTTTTAAAAACCAACCCAGAGGCCGAACCGTTTTTGGCTCTGGGTTGCGGTTCACCGGTTTGACCGTTTGGGTCGAGTGGGTCAGACTGCCCCACATGTATTTAAGGTATATATATATATGTGTGTGAGTGTGTATAAATATATATTTTATCAATATATATAATTGCAATTTGAGGCCAAAAAAGAGGTTTTTTTTTTTTTTTTTTTTTTGCGAAAATAGTGTGGCAAGGCACTGTAAGCATAGATCTCGAAAAAGTTACCCAAAATAAAAAAAGGATCACCCCAATTGGACATTGGAGTGCAAAGTTATGGCCTCCGAAAGTTTGCATGCATTGAGTGTGCAACCCACAACCCGGTGACCGGGTCGAATGGGTCAATGGTTGAATCGGCTGGGTTATACGGTTCTTGACCAAGTCAACAGTTTTGACCACATAATGGGTTTTGACTGAACTGGACCCGAAATCCTGGCAGGGTGACAGTTCGACTGGTTCAACCAGCCGGGTCAACGATGGGTTGAAAAAACTGATTTGTACCATGAGATCCTGTAGTCAAGTCCAACACCTTAACCAACATGTGAAACTTACACCATAAAAAACAGTAGATAAATAGTGCCTGCAACCACCAATCCATGTCCAACACTCATATCAAATGTAGTTATGATGTCAGCAACATTACATGCTATTCTACCAGAATTTGCTAGATCAATATATAAATCATGATAATGCTGTTCCTAATTTAGTTATGAAAACCTTCATTGGCTCTAGTAGTATCCTGTTTCAATTGGTATCAAGCATTGAGTTGGATGTTCTTTATATATGAATTCTACCTTTGTAAGCCCCCGAAGGTCAACCACCAGGTTGTCTGCAATGTCCTTTTGTAGGTGTGCTGCAACCACTTCAAGAAGCAGACTTTGAGGTTTCTCTATGCCAGATTTGTTACAAGAACTTCCCAGCCTCAAAAGACTTTGATCTTGATTGTTGTCCTGTATTACTCCTTCACACCATTCCTCAATTAGCTCCTTGAGAAAATAATCATTGGCACTATACCTGCAGTATACATGCTTGTTTTATTAGAAAAGGAAAGAGCAGATCCAACTACATCCCTAACTGTTTGAAATTGTGTCCTACATAGACTTCTTTGAGTTCAAATAAGGAACACCATACATCACTAACATTCTGGATACCTTGTAGGTATTGTTGGCAATTTATTGCAATACATCTAACTTGGAAAACAACAAGATTTTAAGTGGCAGAAGCACTTGCACATGTGTCTGTAACAAGTCACAGTTACATGGGTGTGTATGTGTGCATGTGCATGCCAGGGAGGTTAACCATGGAAGCAGTCTTTCACCTAGGCTATTGATGGGAAAGTACAGAGATGAAGGGCATATCCGTTCGCTAGAGAAACTGCTAAAATTACAAAAACTAGATTTTAGATGGAGTTTCAGGATGAAACTTGGTAGGATGAAACAACGCAAATTGGCTACAATGGGAAACTTTAGGTTTTGATGTAAATCAAAGAAAATCGAACTTGGATCAATTCCAGTTCTTTAAGGATGCTAAGAGAACTCTTTGATAAAAAATCTGTGGACTGTTGATTGCTATAATGGCTACTTTACAAGGGGGTTAGAATCACTCTAGGGTGTGGGAATCAGTCACCATTCTTAACATATGCTATAAGAAAACTCAATTTATTGACATTAAAACATTCTATACACATTTATAGATTGTAGGTTAATAAAACTTCTAAAAGAATTAAGAAATAGAAAATTACAACTAAAATCCTACAATTTAAACAAAACAATAACTCCTACACTACTTATGCAATGACTTTGGAACTTTAAACATATGTCGACTATTACTAAAGTAACTAAACAAATCTCTCTCTCTCTCTCTCTCTGGTTCTCTAAAATAGAAAGGTGCTACACAAGAGCCAAGGGGTAGACCATCCTCAATAATCTTCTAATGCAATTCTATCAATGGTTGTGGGAATGTCTTCCTCCTTTTCACCTCTATTTTAATGACCTCTTTTGGCTATTAAGTCTGTTACCTGGTTGTCTTGATGGTAGATGTGGCATGCTTCAACCTCAATTGCTGCAATCCCTGCCACCCTCTGAGTGTCAACTATTGTTTTTTGATGTGCTATGGGATGTTTGTTGTGCCCATATAACATCCTATAACCAATCGAGAGTCTCCTATCCATTTTTTTTCATCCCTTGTTCCTATCCATGTTTATTGCTTCTCTAGCTGCCCTTGCTTTTGTTCTGTTATGCCAATGGTTGACAGTATAATCCTAGATATTTCATAGTTTGTCCTAAGATCCTTCCTTGATAATCTCTAGCTACATATCCAGTTGTAGTTTCTCTTTGGTTTCCCAAAGATGCATCCAAATTGGTTTTTATTATCAGAATGGGTAGGGTTGCCACCTTATTATGATGGTCTCCTTATTTGTTACTTGAAATGCCATCCCATCCAGAGATGGTTCTTGATTAGCATGCTCTACAAATTGTGATTGGGCCTAGCCTAAGACATTATCTGGTATAGGTTATTTGTTAATTGCTATTTTTACTAGGTCATTCCTACCCGGTCACAATTCAGATGAGGAAAGCTAATTTCTCCCAAATGGGTCCTTCCTATGTAGATTTTGAATCCTGATCCACCAATCAAGAATGGTTCCATCATTTCCATTCAGCCCTAGGCATGTTCTATCTCTGGCATTCCAAATTAGATTAGCTAGATTGCAATTGTGGAAAATATGTTGTTCATCTTCCCTCCTTTGGCCACAAATCACAAGTTGGGTTGTTTCTTATTCCTCTCTCAACCTGTGAAATAAGGAAAAAAACTGGTGTCAAATTTAGCTCAAATTACAAGTATCATCATCATCCAATTACAAGTTGGGTTGTAATTCTAGAAGCAAGGCTTTCTTGCTTCTAGGATAAGTCTTCATGAGTGCTGATTGATCCCTATCACCGTCTCTAAAACATGATATTTCATGATGGTTCTAAAAAATCTGGCAAATTAATACAAGAGGAAAAATGAAAAAAAGCACTTAATTTTCATAAAGGTAAAGAAAACCTTTCTAGTTCATAAATACATGCTATAAAGTTCAATTTACATGGAAGAAGCATCTAAAAAATTGAACCATGTATTTAACACACCCTGCTTTCCGCATGTCTTGATATATAGCTAGGCATTGTTGCACTTCATGCAAGGACCCATATCTTCTACGAGCTCGTAAGAGTGTATTATATGTCACCTGAAATAACAACAATGCAGCATATTTTGATCTTATATTGAAATGGAGATGCGTCAAATACTTATCTATGGATATCTGTGGAAGGGAAACCATTTGTCTAGTAGCATAAGTATCTAAACTATACTAGAGAGAGAGAGACTTTGTACATTAAATTCCCGATAGATGCTTTACAAATATTGAGCATGTCTTCTAATGCATTAAACCAAGTGAATCCTTATCCATGTGATGGGCAAATAGGAGAAGGAAAGGTTTGTACTTTGTAGAGGCCAAGGAAATTTTTAACTCACCAAATTTGGTTTTAATCCATATCTTTTCATTTCTTCAAATAATGAAAATGCTACCTTCAAATTTTTATTCTTTACACAAGCCTGTGGAGAAAAGAGAGAAAACAACAAAAATAGCACTTGCATCAGGTTATGAGGTTGAATATAGTGACAGGCAGGCAGCAACTAAGAAACAACATATGAGCATCTCAGAAATGCAAACATTAAGGATATAGAGGAATACTGGAAAATGACAAAACTTCATGAACTGAGTCATCTGCAAACCTTGATGGCCGTTGTATATGCAATAACATCGGGTTCAGGTCCAGCTTCACGCATAATCTTCAGTGCCTAAATAAGAAGAATGAGAAGCCATGTGAGATTCCTTTTTCAACAGAAAACATCTGAGAATTCAGATCCCACTGTAAACATTTGCTAGATAACATAAAACTACATAATGCATCAAATCAACCAAGAAAACTTAGTCACAACTATCTTGGGGCACTAAATCAAATACAATGGTGAAACAGGATTCATGTAGCCAACCCCAAATAGACTGGCGAACCACAACTATCTTGGGTTTTCTATGCATAACCAATCAAAAAAGAAAAGGAATTTCGGGGAATATAACTAGCAATATACAGTGAACAAGAAGCCACAACTTTGAAAAAAAACATGATTTTTATTGGAAACCGTGGAAAAAATGATTACACTTCACCAACTAACAAGATTGGTTAAGCTTCCAGAACACAATAACTAATTAGCCACAAGAAATGGCAACTAATATAAAAAAAGGTGTTATTACTAGCACAACATAGTAGATCTATTGTTTTTTAAGAGAAAAATCCAACCTCAAGTTATGGTTCTCACTTCTCAAAACATGTATTCAGTTCAAAATCAATAAAATTGACCTTTTATTCTTGGGAAGAAAGTACATGTTTGACTTCTCCAACGACTCTTTTGAATGGCTAGATATTTTTTTACAAAAAAAAAAGAAGAAAAGAAAAAAGATGGAGGAAGACTAAATAGCATAGTAGAATATATTCATCCATTTAGATATTTAGGCTAATCATACATCTCTTTTGATGAATCTAAACTTAAAAACCAAGATTCCACCTCAGGAGAGAAGCAATAGAGTAGAATAATAAATTTCAAATGAGTCTCATTCGTTTCAACAAAACCTGGTACTTGTAGGAATTATTCCATATAAAGTGAAAAATTGAAAAGAAAAAGAAATAAAGGAGGACCAGAGGGCAAATATGATTCAACTACCTAACACTTCTAGGAATATGCCAGCATACTAATTGACATCTTGGTTGTTCCACAGTATTCAATGGTCCTAATTCACCGAGAACTAAATCTAGTCTATAACAGCTCCAGCCTTGGATCACATATCAGTCACTTTAACTTTGCCAATGCTGTCATCAGCCCCTTACTAACAGAAAGTAATGGTAAATACAGAGTATATTGAAGGTTGATGGTATGAAGAGGTATACACCCAACTGCACAATTTCATGGTACCATTAATTGCAAGTTAAAAGAACACATCTAATTTATATTTTACCTGAAGAGCACCTCCTACATCTCCTGATCTTCCACGAACATCAATCAAAATTGACCAGCTTATGTGATTGGGAGAAAGACCTGCTAACTTCATTTCATCCATCAAATCTTTTGCACGACAATAGTCAGTACCACAAGCCTTCATCAATATATTATATGTAGCAGTTGTGGGTGTAAAAGGAACCACCTTATCTATGCACAAGTGTTCCGTATCAGAGATGTCACTTGGCATATTATAGTTTTCACCTGCACCTTCAGTGACTAGGTTGCCTGTACTCGCACTACTCTCTTTAGACTGGAAAATCTTCTGGATTCCACTTTCCTTCCAGAGCTGGAACATGCGAAAAGCTCTATCATACTGGTAGGCCTCAACACAGGCATGAAGAAGGATATTGCAACTTTGCGAATTAGGTTCACAACCAGCCTGAAGCATCTCTTCAAATACTTGAATTGCTTTCCCTACAAGACCCACATTGGCACATGCACTTAACAATGATGACCATGTAAACATATTAGGAGTAACACCAGAGCTAAGCATGTCTTCTTTGACTTTCAGTGCCATTTGCCACATTTTTGCATCTGCAAAGGCCTAAAAATTTAATAGAAATTAGTGAATGAGAAAAAAAAGAGTAAATGGACCCCCACTTTCAATAGCCAGATAAGGAATTACAGGATCTAGAATTCCAGATAATATATGTAGGAGCATTAAGGCTGTTAAAAGATACAAAAGAGTCATTGAGAGGCAATCAATACTCAATTTTACCTTAATAATAGTGCTGTATGTGAAGACATCCAACTTCAGTTCCCCTGTTGATGCCTTATGCTCCATTTCAATATAGATTTTTTGTGCCAAGTCAACTCTTTCAGCAAGGCAACATGCTTTCAAGAGAATGTTATAAGATGTCACATCTGCAGAGACACCTAAATTCTGGAAATATTGGTGGAGAGGGTCAGTGATGTTTGATGACACTTGAGCATACATTACCATGTTTAATTTAATGCTCAATCAGCAAAACAGGATTCATGTAGCCGACCCCATATGAGACTGGGATAAGGCATGGATGATGATGATGATGCATTAGATAATTCTTTCTAATCAGTAATTGAAGAGTTATATTAAAGAAACGGAGAATAAAAATCACTACAATGGTCAACACCAAGTACTTAGAGATAGCAAGATATCAGCAATACCAATTGTAGATACCCTTGGATAGGTGCGTAGCAGCACCACTCAGTAATAAATACTTCCATTAATAGCAGGTATAGGGCCAGGAGTCAAGACTCACTTACCATCTATGATATGACCAATCAATTGGGCCCAAAGATGGGCCCCAAGTTCATCTGAGCCAAGCAATCTGATGTGGGCGCCGGCAGCAGCAGCAGTAATTTAGTGTTCTCATCCTATCTTATCTGCTTTCAGTAGCAGGGATTAGTAGGAGTCTTATCTATTCAGTTCAGTAATATGGATTAGTAGGGAGTCTTATCTTATCTTATCAGTTCAGTAGGATAGATTAAGGGAGTCTTATCTTATCTTATC